TTTGTGAAGGTTTGTTCAAAGATATTTGATGAACCAATCCCTAATAGGTTCTTGAACTGGTGGTCATACCACGGCCCGGCTATAAAGATTCTACCGGATCCTTTCTTAAAATTATATAAAGAATGGGTTAAGGTTTCACCGAATTTGAATAAATTATATCACACTGATCATATTTGTTATATGGAACAAATTGAACATGTCTATTTTTTCATAGAATTCTCTATCCCTTAGATCCATAAATGAACCCCAGAAGTCGGTTATACCGAAGAACAGATTCCGTGTTTATACCGCATCTATTATAACAATTTTTGGGACAAATTGATGAAAAAAGATCCCAAGACAAAGGTGTTATAGGGTCAAGAATTGATAGAACTTATCACTCAAAGAATCCAAGATTATGGTACTGATTCTCACAAAGTGCTTATCACTGACAACTCTGTTAAGCATATTGCTAGAAGAATTTCCATTCAAGATGGAAACACAGAAGATATGATAAAGGAATACCTAGAAGAAGTTAGGAGAAATATTCTTCTCAATATCACTCACTATGCAAAGTCAGACGACACTTCTATGGGAAGTGAAACAAGTGAGGATGCTCAAGAAGATACTCAACCATGTGGAGGAGATGCACCGGAAGATTTCCTAATCAACTTAAAAGGAAAAGAGGTGTTGTAAAACTTATCTCGAACAGTGAAAGGGCACTATCAACAGTAGAAACATTGTTAAGCAACAGTAGATATACTGTTCATAGGGCCCAAATAGAGGCCCAATATCCCTGTACCTAGATGCTTTTCTTTTTCTATAAATAAGTTTGTTTTCCTTAGTTGAGGAACAGGTTTTAGAAACCCTCTCTCCTTGTTTTTCTCTCTTGTAAGATCTTTCTTGTAATTGGTGAGTTTGCCGGATTACCGGAGTTGTGAATAAAGTGTGTTGTGCTTCAATAAGCTCTGGTATTAGCCACAAGGTACTTTTATTCTTCCTTTTCCGTATTTTCTCTTATTCTCCGATCTGAGCCGTGACTATGTCCGGCTAAAGAATTATATCAATGTCGGATAACTAACTTCACTTTTATATTTGTCATGAAAGATCTAGACTTTATCTAAATATGAATAAATTTATATATGGTTTTTTGACTTGGTTCCGAGATGGTGGTACAGTCAAATTCAATACAACAAGTTAGTGGCTTTGTCTTAGTGACTTCGTCTATCCAGCCGTGGTCTCAGCCCGATAATGAGTTAAAAAGGCGCCTTATACCCGGTTAGAACTGTTAGACACATAGGCTCACTAACAATAAGTATTTGAATCTTGACAAACCCTTTGCTTGGGTAAAAGGATCAGATCCTTCCATAGTCATTAAACTATATAAAAATTTGTATATATTTCGATTCGGATTTATTTCTCGAATTCGGATGTTAACAAGCTAGATTGAAGATGACCGTGCGGACTACCGCCTGTCTTCCGAGATCCTGTTAGTTGGTAACAGAATCCTGAATTAATTTCTTCCCATTTATTATTATTATTATTACTACTATTACTATTATTATTACTATTATTATTATTATTATTATTANTATTATTACTATTACTATTATTATTATTATTATTACTTTTCATAGGTTTTATTTATGATGTTATGTTCATTTTTAGAGTTTGAGAATTATTAGTGAACTACTTTTGCGATAATTCTTGAATTCATTTGCTTTAATTATAATTTTGGATCTTTGATTATTACTTTGCAATTCAATTCAAGATTTTGGAATTCAAACATTCATCTTGTAAGTTCATGATTTATTTTAACTGAATTATTATGAATCATGATCAAACAACTATGACTAGTTAATTCCACAATCTGGATTGTGAGAGCCACGAAGAATTAACAATGTAAACCAAATAAATGGTAATTCTTAAATAGTACTGCATGTATTGTTTTTCTTTTTGCTTTGATTGCTTTTTAACTGAGGCCTCCGTTAAAACTCATTTTATTCCTACTTGACGGACCAAGGGGATAACAAATGAGAAAAAAATATTATACAACGAAGATTTGAGGCTATAAGCCCTCATCTAATAGCTTGAACGCACCATGAGACTGCTAATTTGGGATCAAGGGTAAGGGTTAGTAAGGGATACACCCATAGACGGTCCGAGTTGCATGGTGAAATTGACTTATTTAGGTGACCATCCACTTAGGTGATATATAACTTACCGATCTTGCATGCTAGACACTAGACAAGGGTACCACTATAAGGTTTACTAAGTTAAGGACTCGTGGGGAGCACAAATACCCTAGTTTCGTCTTCTACTGATTCTTGCAAACATAAATCATGTTACTTTGATACTTGTTACTTATAATCATTCGAATCAATATTTGTTACACA